TTGGCTGATGTCGTTCATTACCTTCGCGCCACCATTTTTTTTTTAGTGTAAGTTATCCTCCTCACCTGACGATTGCCTCGATTGTCTGGACCGTCCAGATCGTTTTGTTGTTGTTGAGGATGAAAACCCCTTTCACGTGTTGAAGTGAAACCCCGATCTTGGCGCTCTCTGACGACAGTGACTCCATCGAACGTCTACATCTGGCAGCCGCTGACGAGGATCTTCCTTGGAGTTCTTTCATCTCCCACTTTTTTTTTAAGTGACGGGAACGATTGAGTCACTGTTGCCAGTGGGCTCCCAGAATCGTCTCTAGTGCTTTTTTTCCGCTCTGGAAAAGGCGGCATCGTTTCAGCCCCGTATTGAATGGGCTTTGCACCGAAGACCTTTCACCTTCGAATCGAAGACCTTGGACTTTTCGTTCGGGCGAGCATCAGCCGAGAAGACTCAATTTCGAGGCTTGGTTTCCCGCAATCTTCGGTTTTGGAATCCCCAGAATTTGGTGGATTTTCTCCGAGCGCGTTGGGCGACATGCATCACACCCGTTTAAACTTGAAAGAAAAAAACTAATCTCATTTCTTCTTAATGGACGTCACTGCGAATGGGATTACCTCAGATGAACCGATTCCCGCTGGGGTTCGTCCGGAAATTAAATTAGTTTAAGGGAAACCGTTCTCGCGCCAGCTGCCTTATATTTTCATCAATTTTTTTTTGTTCATTTCTGGAATCGGTGCCATTGCCGATCGATGGTGTCGTTATGAATAGTCGCGATGGCGTGGAGCTTCAGGAATGCAATTTAAATTCTTAAGAATCACCGTCGAACGACGAGGAAGGACAGACTTCCGCATTTTCTCGACTTTTCTCGTCTCTTCCAAGACGCTTCTCGGGGTTCAACGCGCTCAAATAATCAAACATGATGCCGATCGCGGAACAAAGGTATTTCGTCTCCTTTTCTACGTGCCTTTCCATTATTTTGCGAATCTCCATCCGGAGAGATTTCTTGTCTTTCACGCCAAATCGCGTGATGGCACCCTCCGCTATCGTCGCCTAAATCGACACGATCCGATCCAGCCGACACGTGGGTGTCGTTAAGGAGCTTCTTCCTGTCGCCATCGCCGGTGTCGAGCCGGCGTCGCCCGACGGAAGAAACTCGACAGAAAGGCGAAAAAGTATCTTCCGTTCAAATCACGTGCCACGAGTCATCCTCTAAAAATGAAAATCATTTTCTCGTCCCGTCATTTCGGTGATGGAACCCCATTAAGGGCCATGCGCCAAATTTCAATTAATCCGATCGGCACAGTGAGAAATGCGTCTCGAATGTGCATCATTTCTTGTAATTGCAGAAGCTTTTTGTCCCCGTAGAGCTCCGTGCCCCGTCGCAGGTCGAATCCTTTCGTGAGGCCGACAGTCGGTTGAAGGCGGAAGTGAGGCTAACCGGAAGAAGCGAGGGAGGCCTTAAGTGGCGAGGGAGGACGGAAGAGGTGAGGGAGGCTTGAAGAAGCGAGGGAGACCTCGAGTGTTTTTTTCTCTCGGTTTCGTGCAGAAAAACCAGAGCCGTGCGAAAATATGACACGAACAAAAGAAGAGCGACTGCGACGAAAGTTGGAGGAATCGACCCGTAATTGGCCTCGAGAGATAGACAAACCCACTGAGAGGCCTGGAAGGTATTTAGCATGTGCCGAAATTCCCATGGCTCGCGTCTATCCCCCTCACTTTTTCCCTTCCTCTCGCGCTCGCGACCGCGAGAACGGAGAACCGGTTCGCGAGGCGGAACGACCGAACGACCGAACGGCCGGCCCGAAAGCGAATGGAGTCGGACCGAAGCTCGACCTTCATATACGGGACGGGCAATTACGCGAAGGGTTAATGGGCTGGATCCCGAACCGGCAAGGGACACACAAAGAGATAGCGATCGAACTTCCCACCATTCGCGATAAAAAAATAAATAGTTGATGTCTCCTTTCGCCCGCATCGACGGTTCTTCGCCGATCGCGGAGGCGGCAAAACGATCGGCACTCGAGAGATCGACCGATCCTTATTGCTTCCGAAATCAGCTCTTCGCCGGAGGAAATTGCTCCTCGCCGTTTCGGATACCTGATCGAAAGAGACTCGACAAAGACGTTTGAATCCGTTTAGGAAACAGACTCCCGAGCGCGTTCGATCTCCTAATCGAATCAGCATCCCTGGAGAATTGGGAGAAGTGCCATTAGAGGCAAGGATTGCTGCTCGAGACGTCGCTTTGTGGGAAGAAGCGAACAAAATATTCCTCTCGCGTCTTTTCCGCTTCTAATTCGCTTGAGCGCCTTTTCTGAGGGCCTTCGACCGTCGATGGGAAATTCTCGGAAGTGTCCGAAGTCGTCTAAAAGTGATGAGGCTTCGGGAATTCGCGCGTCGGTTCGCATCGGGGTCGTATTTTAGGGAAATTTACGAAATCGATTCCGGAAAAAGGTTCTTCATCCTGGATTTCATCCCGGATCTGGAAGGAATCTTCTCCAAAGCAATCCGGGATCTGACGAAACGGTTCATCGAGCGACTTTGCTTTCTTGCATTCATACGAGTTTGTGAATTCGTCAAAATTGCAATGGATACCAGGTGATTAGATCTCGACTCTGACGTCGAGGAACAGGAGTCGTGATCCTTCCTCTGCATTTTCGAAATTGGAACCCCTTTCCGTTTCGGTCCGGCGATGCAAAACTTGCTTCGAGGAGCTGAAAGAAAGGAAATCTCGCATCTGCGAAACTCGAGACGGCAGGACGAAAGAGACGAGAGGGAAACGTTCCCGACTTCGCATGACTCTTTTTGTTTGCTTCGTTTCTGCGTGATTCCTTTTCATTTTTACGACTCCGGTGGAAAGGGCAGCCAGATGTGAACATCACGAGCATTTTGGTGCTACGGTTGAGGCTCAACGTCTCTTCGAGTTCTCGAGAGATTTCTGCTTTCAGAAACCGAAATGAACTGGAGGATAAGGAATCCTAATGTTCAAAGTGAAAATTTGTCCACTTAAGGTGCTAATAATGTGGAGGTGGGACGGGGGCTCCCAAAGAGAGAGAAATTCTCACGGAGGAGCACCCCGAGCACCCATTTGCCTTTCTCTCGGCTTCGTTCCAGAGGTAAACGTGAGTTCCTTCTCTGGCTTTCTTCGTATCTCCCATAACCGAAGTTCCAAAGTGATTAGGCCGGATCCCAGCCACAACGGATCGAAAGCGGTCCGCAGTCGGTCCGTGCTCACTCGGGAGCACTTTCGACCGCGGAATGACACGAACCAGTGGGAAAAACTCCCAGCATTGTTTGCCGGGTCCACTCCCCATCCCGACGAAGGATCGATGGACGTTCATGAATATAGCATGGCCCATAGGGAAAGTAGATCTACCTGTGATGGAGCGTAGGGCGCCATCAAACCCCGAGATCGATGATTGCCCCTGTGACGTCACGTTCCAGCTTGTCTTCTCGCTTTCCGCACGTCACGTGAGTGTCACGGCTCGATTGAGCCATCCGACCCCTTTTCCCATCGGACGGGGCAAGGAACCGTCGGATCCGAAGGAAAAGTTCCCGAACTAAAAAAAAAAATCAGCCGTTTTTTCCGACCGGAGAGTGACGGCTGCAATGTGCGCTGCCTTCCGTTCCGTCGAATGACGGCTGGAAAATCATCTCGTGCCCGAGAGCAACAATCGCTTTCCTTTCCTCGCGAGTTGTGAATAATTAATGCTCGGATGCTCGTTAATGGGCAAAGTCGTCTCATCCGTCACGAAACCTCGGCCACCGGAGTATAACATCGTGAGCTTGGGATCCCTTCGAGAAACCACCGAGTCGTGATGGAATCGTCTTCCTCTCTTCTCGGATTTTCATGGGTATTTTCGTCGGTATTGGTGAGGGAATGCGGAACTCAGAGTTTCTTTCGCTCGAGGTCCACGGTCGAGTCTGGATTTCTTTTCCATCGCATTCAACGAGGAGAAAATGCGGGAGCAAGTGAGAAGAGAATTAGACGACTCTGCTTTTGGGGGCCTTTATCTGATTGGCCCTTTTCTTCCGCGACTACGAGGTATTACGAGGTTCTGCTCGATTTCGGTTCGTCGTTCTTCGGATTGATCATTTTCAGTCGGAGTTCGACAGCGTTGCTTCACTCCTAAAATTGTTCGACCGGGGATCGCTTCTTCACGATGAGTAAGCTTTGTCAAAAATGGTTTCCTTTGAAACGACGCATTTATATTGGATTTGCCGCGAACGGAAAGTTGTGGATTCCGTCATTTTATAAAGAAAGATTCGGTGTAAAGGTGACCTTGACTTCTCGAAGCTCCTGCCCTTTGGACCCTGAGGGCCTCCATAGACTATGAACGTGGACGAATGAGCGACTGTGGTGAGATGTTCCCTCTCGCTTCACCTCGCCCGTGTCCGCTGGCTAATAGGGGTGGAGGTTTCTTTCTACTCAAAAATTTCACAAACTTTGCTTAAATTAGGAACAGTTGACTCTTGTCGCCGGTTCGTAGCAATCGAGTATCATATTGCATCTCTCGTACGATATGGCATGAAAGCATGCTATTTCACCGTTCTTGCAGTTTTCGGATTGATTTCGTACTTCCCCCCCCCCCTTCCTCTCCCTATAGTGGAGAATGGAGGAAGCACAACTTCCAGAGTCTCCGCTTCATCAAGTGATAGGCGAAGCTACCCATGCGGAAGATGTCACTTCCTGTAATCGATGGAAGCGCTCCATAGGGGGGTACGGATTCAATCCGAAAACAGTGTAGACCATCAAAACTCAGCTTAGCATTTTTGAAAATGGATTCACATCATTCTAATTTAACTCCGATTCGTGTGATCTTTATTTCCCGTCTGCTAGCACTTCGTAATTTCCAGTGATGATGTCGAACAGTAGTTCATCCATGGAAGTGTCGTGTGATGGAATTCCGAGCGGCAAAACCGTGCTTGCAACGGGAGGCATTCATTCGCCGGCGTCTGCCAGAGTGAAACGGTGTCCCTCGAGGTCGCGATTCTAATTCGCCGAGGACATGCGGCACGCTCAAGCTGCGGGTCGGCGGTCTTTCAGGCCAACCAGATCTCAAGATGAAGCATATCGGCCCCACCCGGTCGAAGGAACGGCGTCCCGCAGCTCGGCTCCGTCGGACATCGTGTCGCGCGACAGTGCCATCGCCATGTCGGAACGGCGAAACAGTTACGAGATGGCGATGCGAGTGCCGCTGGCCGTGGCCCGGAACGGAGCGGGTTTCGTGCCGGCCCCTGCCATTCCAGCGACCAGAAGCCCTCGACTGCACAGGCAGACTCGAGTCGTCCGGAGTCCCAGCGGTGAGATCGTGACCTGTGTGGAACCCGTGTCTCCCGATTCCAGTAGGGGCCCGAGGCATTCGACTTCCTCCCATGAGGACTTCATGCAGAGTGACGTGGGGAGGCGCGTTCGTCCGTCGCTCACTCCCCTTCAAGACGAAGGAGAGCTGCCGCCTGGAACACCCCCGATCCCCGAGCATCTCCTGGGGACTCCCATACAAGACGTGGATCCCACGCTTTCCTACCCGGTGAGTCCGTTCCGGCTTCGTATTCATTCTCTGGGTTCATTTCGAATGCTGTTGGGGTCCGAACTCCCTTGAGATTCACACCTCAGTTACATATCGAATCGATCGGCTGGATCACTTTTGACTTTAAACATCAAAAGTCGCATTCTCATCTCAATTTACAACAGGTTTTAGGTAAGCGTCGAATAATGCTAGTGAATTAAGAAGGGAAAATCGAGATTCAGTAAAAACATGTTTTAATTGAAATCGAGAAGACGGTCCCACGACGACAACTACGCTACTGTGTTGTATTATACATTTTTTGCTTGATCGCTACTTCTCATGGTGAATCGATGGAGGTATCTAAGATTTAGCTATACCTGCTCTCAAACGAAATGAGATTTCCGGGTCGATTCCCTGCCTGAGACATAAAAAATGCACATTGTCGCAGATGCACGTTTTTCCCTCTTTCTCTGGGGTGGGATGAAGAGACACAATGAACTCCGGGCTTTGGCTCTAAGCCAAACTGTACTGTATGAACAATGACTAGGGATCTTCAACGCTGAGCATTTATGGGCCGAAAGAGGTGGGGTGTCTGCTTCTCCGGGTTGGCTCCAAAGGGGGCTTGTAATATGCAATCTCTCATCTCCCTCATGCCATGCCTGCTCTGGCCTCAGATCCATTCATAAAGAGGGATGGGAACTGCGACTCTGGTGCAGAAAGTCGTGCTTCTGCTTGCTCGACAGAAAATAAGAAAAAGGCTAACCTCGCCGCCCTCTGTATTTTTTTTACTTTTACGAATATCGTGACTGATTTTGTCAGCGATCTGGCGTCGGTAATGACTGAATGGACGGCAAGGAACAACGAGAGGCGTGTGAAAAGTTCTTAGCCTGACCGGGATGGAGTCGACTCAACTTAAAGCACTATTTTGCACTTTCCCCCCTGATATCCGACACTCGAACCGGCGATGCTCCTGGGCTTCAATGAGGGCATCGAAGCCCAGGAGCCTCCAGAACACCACCTGTCTTACTAATATAGCCACACGAAAACGACGGACACGACGAAATCATCGATCTAAAATCTGATTCCTTTGAGGCGTGTTTCGAAGCGGCGGAACATACGAAAGCCGGCAGAGGCAAAAGGCACGGTACAGGAAACGAGGGAAGTGCGACGACGATTGAAAGCCACATTCATTGATTGAGTCCATGGCAACGCACGAGGTGGGGGATGGTGGATCGCCTCGGAAAAACAACTGACCGAGACGCAATTTTCCTCCTCGCTCGGCCTTCGCAGCATTGCGCAATCGGTACGGCATATCTGCACTGTAAGCGTCTGCGATGGTAGGATCACGGACCAGGTAGTAAATTACTAGCACACCCTCAGCATTCTTGGGCACTGATCCCATGATCTAGCTCACTGAAAGAATCGAGCGGAGCCGAGTAGCGGCGGAGTCCTTCCGTTTCGTTGTCAGGTCGGTTGTTTTGCTTTCGGATGGAAGCGGTGGGCCCACGTTTCGTTCGTGGTGGCAAGCCGAACAAGAAAATTGTTATTGGCTTGAAATATGCGAAGCAAATTCTGTGGAATCTAAACCCAGAGCATGCCTTCAGTCTACGTTCAGTTCCTTCGGTTTCGGCTGAAACTATATTGGAGAATATCGGTGAAAATTTTATGAATTCGTGGAGACGAATGTCATGCCAGCTATTGCAAAAAAAATTCTGCCCATTTACATGAGCTACGTGAAGATTCGGGCGATCTGTTCAGGTCAAGAAAAGGCTGCGTCGACGAAGCCCCATGCCACACGGCTGGCTTCACGTCCCGCGCCATCGAAGAGACCGGGGTTCAGGTCCGGAAGCAGCTGACCGTTCGGACCTCAACACCCCGAAACACCTGCGGAACAGATTCCAGCAGGGTGTTCTGTGCCGACAAAAATCTTGCATCAGTCGTCACCAGGGTTCTCAGAAGAGTGAGAAGCCGACACGACGAACGACACTCTTCCTCGATTCGATGAGAGCTTCTTGGCGCGTATCCGAGGCTCTCGGAGACCGGCGGAATTCATTAAAAGTATCGATGCAGGAGTTGGTTCCTGTGGTGTTCCCGATTGTGCGGAATGCAAACAAGTCAATACTAGTATATTCCCGATGGAGGCCATCTGGTGTAGCGTGGCAGGAACTTTCGGAACATTCTGTGACTTGGGTTCAGGATTCAACGGAACACTTTCGGTCACGGAGTATTTTCTCCCCATTTTTTCTCGGTTCTTCTTTCATTTACTTCATATATAATTGTTCATTTATGATCTCACCGCACTCGCAGTATGATCCTTTCGATTTTTCTACTCAACATCTCGCTATTTTTTCACGATGATATCAACTGTAATTAGACAACTACTTTGTTTCCATGGTTACGATTGAGCGGAAAATGCATGGGTGGACTCCTTGCCATGACTCCATGGCCCGTTCCGCACGAATACGTTGTTTTGGCATATCAGCGAAGAATCAACAGCAGCGAAATGTCGGCTATTCGTAATTAACCACATTTTCAAAATGACTACTCAAGAGTTAACGAAGTCGTTTGGAGGCAATTAAGTGCAAATGTATGATTCACATTAGCCTTCGCCTTAGCCTCTTTATTTTAGCGCCAATTTATCTACGCTGCCTCGACAGAAAACAGGTTCTACCGGCCCGACCGACGCGAGTTGGCGCCAAACTGCCGATATTTAGCGATTCTCACCAATTCTCATCCTGCTGCCACCGAAGTGAATCCTCTGTATTTTTTCATTCCGTACCCGATCCTTTCCCGCGTACAATTTAGTAGAAGGCTTCGAAATCCCTTAATAAACCCATTTATAAAGGGATACTCCGGCTGGAGGAGACTCCAGGTACGATAAAGGTACGATAAAGCACCACCGAGCGATACGTTTTCCTCCTTAATCCGACCGTCAAGATGTAGAATTTTACTGCAATTCCAAATTGAAGTTATTGCAAAGCGATTTGGCATCGCGGAAGGTACCATATTCTCCCGTGAAACAGAAAAAGGAGCTCCCACCAACCCACTTCGATAATATCGTCAACTATGCACGTATTACTTGTCGGCAAGGTGTGAGATCGCCGAGCGAAGAAGGGTTCGTTCGATCGACAGTTATGGAATCGTGTTACGACATGGACCGGTCGTCATCATCGAGCGACAAGGCAAGGAGATAAATAAGGAAGGACCCACGTGGATCACTGGGCAGGTTCTTCGTGCTTTCCCATCTTGTCTACGAGACATGCGAAATCAACGGTTCCTCCTGGTTTAGTCATAGAGCTAGCGATCGCACACGTAGCGGCTACAAAAATTACGAATTCCTCATTATTGACTGGTATGAGTCTTCCTCGTGTGGCCTGTTTGAAGGTCACACTTGTGGGACACAGAGATAATAGAGACGTTCTATGTCCTCGTTAGTCGTATTCCGAAACGCAATCCCCATCTTTTGTGCGACCAGCCGTCACACTCGTCACATCCGATCCAAGCTCACGATTCCATCTGGAAGAGAGCAGATTTCAGTTTCGTGTGAATTTCATTACGGAGGGTGGTCTGGGGAATCCCAGACGATGCTTCATCGATGCTTTTCTGTCATTTTTCTTTCACGCATTGTCGCCAGCGCTACCGAGGGCATTTAGGGCGTAAGTACGAAGTTTGAATTTCACCCAGGCTCTCACCCTGTCCTTCCCGGTGAACTTTGGTCTTCCTAAGATTTATGAAAAAAATCCTATAGGATCCTATAAGAATCCTATAATATTAATTTGTTTCAAAAATCTCTACTCTTCTAAAAAAAAAATCGACAGTAGGATTTTTCCACAAGTGAAGCCTATCCATTTTTCGTCAATGCTAACGTGTTCATCAATGTTCCTTAAAAATTCACTTTTTTTCACACGCGTCTTGGCCACCTGAGTGAAAAATTCTGGATATTTCCATCTTTGAACGTAAAAAAAAACCTGTAATGGAGATGACGAAGAGCAGGGAGTGATCTCTTAATATATGAAATTTCAGCAATTTATCTTGAATATTGACAACATAGATTTTGCAAGTCCACGAGAACGTAAGTTTTAAGTAGAGAAACGTGAGGTGGATCACCAGTAATGGATTGGCGAAGTGGGACCCGATCCACGATGCACAGAGACCTTGAACCGGAAATCCATATCGCAACGCGTTTGTTTCTCCTTTCACGGAATCGTCGGGCGACATGCCTCTGTGCTCGTTTCCCCAAGCGGCAATTGCTTCTCCCTCGTTCAAAACTAAAGTTTAGACGTACAAGGTCGTGGCAAAAAATTGTTGACCTGGGATGCTCGAGTGACGAGTGACACGCGTCGTCTCGCTCCACTTCGTCGGCCGTAACCTGAAACAATCTCGGGAGAAGTGCAGGGCCTACAAGAAACCGTGCTCACATTTCCTTTACAAAAACAGCAAGGTCAGCATCATCGGGGCTGGATGCTAACACGATGAGCCTTTGTTAAGTCCCGTTTCGAATGCCCTCCACGCCACGTCTGCCGACTTGCCTCGCGTTTTTCTCATCGCATCGCCCGACGGTCAGAAACGCTTAGATATCTCTCGGTGATGCTTTGTCCTACCTTTGACTCGGGGGTCCGAGGAAACATGCTCAAAATTTTAAGTTCATCCCATGGCATATAAATAATTTCCGTGCTATTATATCTCTTTGACTCTTCTCCTGCGAAAGAGACACGTCTGGGGATAGTCTAACACGCAACTCCTTCGACGGGCAGAAGCAGGTGTGTCGTTCAAGGGCAAGGATTCTATGATTACGTTCCAGCAAAGGAGGGTAGAAATTTGCATGGAATCAACCGCGGGATCGTAGTACTTGCTAGAGTATTTTCAGGCTCTCAGAGATGGAACAGAGGATTCCAACGGTACGAGAGTATTATTATATCAGGAAAAATGGAGGAACGCCAAGACGTTGATAATTCGACACAACGTGACACAGGAGCGTGTTCCCTTACGGAAATGTCCTATAGGAAACCTATAGACTTTCCTATAGGTTTTTGAAACACGAAAAACCTATAGGTTTTTGAAACATGAAAAACCTATAGGGTCTTATAGGTCTCCTGACCTGTAGGACTCGGGGAGGATATTTTGGGTTTCGAAATCCAGGCATTACGACGGAAAAGGCGACCAGGGTTAATAATGGCACAGCATTTCGGTGTAAATAAAAAACCGATTAGGGGTTTTTCCATGGTAGGGTGGACATGCATTATTAATACCAGTACTGCGAGGGTCTGCATAATTTATGGCCCCGCCCCACATGTGTCGCTGGATTGCACGTATACTTCTTTCGGTAGAGAGAAGTAGTATTCTTCTCTCGACCTAAGGAAATAGAAGACAGAACCTGCGAACAACGTCTCTTTACTGAAATTCCATTTGGATAGTTTTTTTTTCATTTATTGAAACATTGATTGCACTCGTACAAAGGAATAATGAAAGTTGGATGGGTCCCAGCTGGCCGTCAGGNTAGGTTCTATAGGGGACTCTATAGGTCCCGAACTGAACTCTATGGGGCATATAGGAACCTATAGGATTCCTTTGGGTTCCTATAGGATTCTTATAGGAATATATAGGAATCCTATAAGACATTTTCGTAAGGGTTTTCAACGTTGAACTGCTTCGTTTCAACATTGCGCTGACATTAAATCAGCCTTTTCCCCTACGTTGTGCCAACATTGCTACTTTGAATAAATCAATCCTTGCTCAACGTTGACACACAACGCTTTTGTGTTAAATAGGGGAATCGTGTTTCCAGCACACGAATTTCGCTCTCCATAAATATTTCGGAAAGTTAACACTTTCGTTATTATAATGACGTACGGCGTACGTAATGTTTTATACAGGTTTTACTAGCTATAGTGGCACACAGGAAGGCTGCTTTCTGCCTTAATGCAGTGCACAAAACTTCCTGTTGACGTTTCGATAACTTTCCCTCAGAGCCTGCGAATTCGTGCCATATGATTGGTTTAATGGCAGTACGCGTGGTTCAGGTTGCATGCTACTTACTTTACTTACTCAGCAGTGAAAGAGTTAAGCAGTCAAAAAGTAAACGTTGCTACGCGTGCGAGACAAACGTAAGATATGTTCTAGTTTGTCATTAATAATTTCATCTTGTTGCAATTCCAATAGCACAATACATTCGACCAATATTCTTTCAAAATGTTATCAATGTTGGTCTAACGCAGAGCCAAGATTGGAACCGTATTCTGGGAAACGACTGCGATAAAACAATGTTCTCGAGTAGGCTCTTAAGTGAACCGATATATTTGTCCAGTCATGCAAAATGAATGACGCGATTGTATTCGTCTTCTCGGAATTTGAATGGCTGAGTCTGAAGTGGGTCTGGAAAATGAGGCGCATTGTTTAAGTCTGCGGAGCATTAGGTACGTCTCGTTTTAGCTGAAGGACTCGAAGCTCTGAAACTCACGGGTCGTTGAGGCCATTCTGCATTCACCTTGGATCTACTGTACAGTACTTCGCGGTTTCGTCTCCAGGCTCAAATCCCGGAGATTCTTCCACAGTAAACTGAGACAAGAAGTAGGAACTAGCGCGAGGAGCGATCGAAGAACGACGAAGCTCACCCTCTACCTTACCTTACTTACTCCTCTTATCCTCCTCCCCCCACTTACCCCTCCTACCTCCCCCCCCACTCTCTCTCTCTCTCCCCGGGCACCATTTAGGCTTCCACGTACATTCGCAGAGGAGACTTGAGAAGTTTCTGGTCTCGATTAAGTGGAGATATGCTTGTGTCTTACACTGGGTTTTCAGTATCATGAAGTGTTAGCACGCGAAAGCCTGAAATGTGAGAGATGAGTGAGGTTCCGCATCCTTGAATGCCTTACCGTGCGGGTTTCTAGCATCGATGTCAGTCCCGATGGAGTCGTGTACACGCACACGAAGGAGTTACTAAGAATCCAAGTTTCCGGACGGCTTGGAGGCCGCGAAGGAGAAGGCATTTCGGGTTCCAGGCCCCACGTACGGGCCAAAACTGTCGCGAGGAACATATGTGTTCCGCGCTGCGTTCCTTTCGGGATGGAAAGGAATCCACATTCTCCGTACTGCACTGCCGTGATTCCCCCGTCTGCACCTCGATGCCTGCGCTTGCAGGTGCCCATGCTGTTCTGTTCTCGGTGTCAGGTGTTTCTCTCGGTCCAATTTGGCCGACTGCCACGACTTGTCGTGCTTGCTACCGGCTTCCATCCTAATTGTCAGTTGCGGTTTTAATGGCTGGTTCGATAGTGCTCATTCGAAACTTTCGAGACGATCCAAGCAAACTGTATGAAATGCCTATGCGAGGCATTTTCCCATGAGGCTTTCTAATGGCTGATCTCAGTCTATTCTTGATAGTCTGTTGACTTCAGAGGAGGTGAATTCGTTTCCTTGAAACATCGACAAAATATTTACGTTCGGAACTGAACTAAGAGGGGACGCGAATGCTAATGTAACCGTAACTGTGAGTGTACGCATGAGTAAAAATGAGTAAAAATATAGTTCTTTTTTTATATACGGACATAAAAGTTTACTCGTATTTGTTCGTTACGGACAAATTCCCGGCTTTCCATGCATCTGTTATCCAACTATTTCCTGTGTCCACTACTTCATTCCTCTCACCACCGTTCCACTATTCTGAGAGATCACAATTTTTGACGGTAGTTTGTCCGTTGTCAAGAGCACGTACGAGTGCATGCAACTTGACTTCACGGGTTGATCGAATCAGCATCCCGAGAAGGAAATGAAAAAACTGAAACATCTCGCATCATTTTGTAATTGCCAATTGCTTACCTGGAGACTGTCGATGCCGATGAATCGCCAGTGAAATTTGGTTCAACGGCAAATCAACGGTGATTTAACGGTGACCACTACTGAACTCCTGTTGAATGGATATTGAAAACCGGTGATTCACTGTAGAATCACCGTCGATTCGCAATTTCAATTTCAACATATTGACCTGTTATGGTTCGGAGCGGGTTGGATTCAGGCAAGAGAGGTAAATTAGCGAAACGATTTGCCGTGTTATTATTTTCTGAGTCCAGCATGTGTGGTGAGGAATTCCCAAATTAGATGTGACGTCATTGGCCCTCATTCGTGTACACCGAGGAGTAAACATCGAAACCGACCGATTCTATCGTCGAGATGCATCACGAGACTCCAGCTATGCATTTCTTCGATTCTGCGCGTTCCTCGAAATTTGCTGCATGCCACCAGAGGCAGGTCCTAAAAAGGTTTTGAAAAAGGCTCCTTTCCTGATCCGAAGGATCCCACGAGCGGTTGAAAGCATGAAACATCAATCCTGACGACGTCTGAGGGGGAAAAAGGCAAGGATATCTTCACATTCTTACTGATTTGCTTTGAGACGATTTGGAACAGTCGGAGGCAACTGAAACCAATTGAGCCACGTTCGTGACGCAAAGGAGAAACTTAATTGCCGAGGGAAGAGGTTTTGCATGGATAGAAGGCGACGCCGCTCGAATGGAACGACTATAATCCCTCATCGACCAAGACGGTCCATAGGACGGATGCAAGACGAGGACGATGGGAAACGCATTCGTGACATAAATATATATTCTTGGAAGAACTGGAGAGCCCTCGAGTCGTATCTCGAGGGGTGTTGCGTCATCTGCGGCCGAGGTGCATCGAGGTGATGCATCGAGATGATGCATTGCGTGATGAGTCGATGGAGCCGTCTGAAGACGGAACACGACGCCCTGCTGCTTCGATGATTCGTCTCGAGGAGGAGAAAGCGGAGGTCAAGAGGGAAATAATCGCAGACGATGGAGAAGAAGATGGGGAAAGTATGACACAAAACGTCACGCTATCTGACACTGGAATGCGGCCGAGGGGTTAGGAATGGAAACTCGGTGAGGGTGTGATGTCTTGCTGGCCGTCATGTCATGTCATGTCATGTATCATGAATGCCTCTCGAGAGCGATGCCATATGTCGTGTTATGTGTCATGAGTACCTCTCGAGGGTAATGTCAGTCGGCTTCGTTGGTAGAACAAACCACTGCAACTGAGGTGACAGACGGCACTTCGTTGCGATTGAAGCTGATTTTCAGAAGACAGACCACGGGATCAATCGAACTTCTGACTCCATTCGGGACACGCCTCTGCATTCTGCTGTCTATTGGTATTTTGTACTACATACGTTCTGATGCAAAGGCATCGGTCCGGGCTGAATAAACCGTCTTATAGGGGACGGGAGAAGCGATTGACCGAGCCATTGCTTCAGGTATTCTTTACTCTGACGCGGGAGAAAATGATAGACTCGATCGATTATCTCCGGCTGGTTGACAAAGAAAGAGTTGGCTTGCGAAAGAGGGCTTCATCTTATCTCAGTCAATAAGACGGTGACGGGAAAACAAACTCCATGAGGGATTAAGCAAAAAAAGATTCCGATAATTTCCCCTCTATGACTTCAATTACATGCCATCTCATTGGGTCATTTGCCCTCATCCTTCAATGGCAGTCGCAATTAATTGGTCTTGGTGCAAAATGAGGTTTTAATGGGGAAGAGAAGGGAAGCCACGACGGGAATAAAAGATCGCGACTCATTTAACATCCTTTTTTTCTGCCATGGCTGCAAACAGGGTGATGAGAAATCGTACGACCTATAATAGGATCCTCACAATGGAAAAAAAACAAAACTTTTTATTACACAGGAACGGAGGTCCCCAAGTAGCACACGACATTTGAGTTTAAAGACAGAGAGTTGAGAGCAGGCGTATTAAGTGGTTCTTTCTCGAATGTTTGCGTTTACGCGAAGCTCTGTGCCCCTAGACGCATTGGATATGAGCCTCCCTAGCGACTAACGCGGTAGTGCGTGGCCGAGGGCGTGTCGTGTGGGAACGAGATCCCAAGCGGCTTTGATCACCTTCATCCGTGTTACGTGCTTTCAATTTCGTGCGAGCGGATTAAAGTTTCCCAGTCTCCTCTTTCGGTGTTGGAAAGATTTCTTTCGGGTTGCGTGACTTTTCGTGTATAATGCCTCGGACAGATTGCCAACAATACTCTATCCCGGGAAATGAATCCCCTTCTATTCGGCATGTCTTTGATTCATGGCATGTGACAGAGTCTTTGATCGCGGAAGCTATAAAAGTCCCTTAGGAAGATAACTCATACTCTAGATGGGACGATTTCTCCCCACTTAGGGCGATCTACAGACAAAAGAGAAGTACGAGGTATATACATCTGTTTCTTCACAAGTTCTGGCAGAACAGGCAGTACAGTCGAGTTCTGAAGTACGTTGTGAAGGCGTTTTTGATTGGCCCGATGACCATTGAAAGTCCCGAAGACCCGTGTGAAGATCTTGATTCCATGCAGTCCAGATCGTCTCGCTTACGAAAAAAGTTCCGGAAAGATCCTATGGCCTTGCATGAGAATCGGGAAACTCAGATCTTCGTGCTTCATGCTTTCAGGTCGGTTCCTTCCGTAGCGTGATACTAAAGGACGTCTCCTTGAGGCTGCATCTGACGTTTCACATGTTTACAACCGTCGAAGCCTCTCGTTATCTACCACGATATCGACTTGCTAGTTCTGGAGCCAGTTCAAGGCTGGAATTCGACTGAAAGAAGGAAGGAAATTATTAATTGAGCCGAGGAAGAGAATTGAAAAAATAACCGTTTGAAGATCTGCCATTTCACGCTTCATCATTGCTTCGAAGGAAACGCACTGCTGAACACAAACATACCGATCCTCGTATAAATTGCTAGAATCGAGAAGTCGTCGGGTTTCCCCTTCTCAATACTGTTTCATTTGGTTTCATTGCGGTGCCGACTGAGGGGACTTTCATCGAGGACGTCATCAAAGAGATAGCGAGTAGAATAGGGAAGGTGGCGGCTGGCGATGCGATCGGCTCGGATGGGATTCCGACGAGTCACGTCAAGGGACTCGTTCCAGTAGGATCGGTACGATAAAGTATCATTTTCGAGAATGGCATTTTGGTTGGAGAAGCGTCTCGGGATTGTGAATGAACGAACGTCGTATCGATCTTTGACATTGGAACTACCGGGGCAGTCATTTTGACTGCTCGCCGTTTCTAAATGCACTTTACTTTGCTCGTTTGGCAATAAGTTTTTACTTTTCCTCTGCAGTTTTTACTTTTTCTACGTAATATCGACATTTTAAACATACCAAATAACATCTGGGAAAAAAAAACAAATAAAATGCTACAGAAGAATAGTTTTATACTACTTTTAATACATCGGTCAAAATGATCGCTCCGGTAGTTCTGGTGTTAAGAACGGGGATGAGAGCGATCCGAGATATTACAGGCTGGTGAGTCACGAGTGTTCCTGGAAAGATCCTGGAAAGCATGAAAAGGAATCAAGTCATGGGGCTTCTCGAGGGAAACATGCTCATCCGGGAACTTGCGCGGCAAGAGTAGGCTACGAAACTGTCTTACCGATTTGCTGTAATTTAGCGATCGAGTGCAGGACGAGGTAGATAGAAAAAATCCCATCGACATCGTCTACTTAGACTTCGCTGAAGCTTACGATACCGTACCTCGCAAGACGTTGCGAGCTATATTAGAGGCGGACTGATTGAAGGTCGGGAGAACAAGCGAATGAGCGACTGGGACTCGGGAAGAAAGCAGGGAGTAGGCCTTATTGGGGGAGGAAGGGAGAAAGGGAGAAAGTACTGGTGAGAGGGGATACAGAGTCATTCAAATTTTGGAATTCGATTATTCTAAAGGAGGGGAATGACGTCAATGAAGCAATTTTTGCACGTATGCAGTCGGCGTCTGAGTCTAAGAAAACCTGGGACAAGCTCAAGAAAATGAGTGACGATCGACCCAATAAAGCAAGGACCCCATTCTCTACAGAAGAACTCGATCAATTCTTTCTACGATTTGAGAAAGCCGACTCAGATCCTGAAATACCGCAGGAAGTTCTGTTATCTTGTCCCGATCCTTCGTCGTCAAACTTGACGCAGAAAGATGTGCAGAAATTACTAAGCAAGTCTAGGCCTCAGTTATTCTCAGGAGTCTGTAGAACTCCAACGTGGATTCTAAGAACTTGTGCCCGTGAGTTAGTCCTCCCCTTGACACCTCTATGCAACCGATGGGTCTCCACTGAAATAATACCATCATCGTTGAAAAGGATTAAAATAACCCCCATACAGGAGAAGCCCAAAGCCCTCAACGACTTTCGCCCAGTTGGGTTCTCATCACCTTTTCTGAAAGCATTTAAATACTTCCTCCTGCAGCAGCTGAATAAATTTGGAGTGATCTCGCCTGATCTATATCAGTTTGCTTACCAAGTATTTCGGTCAACTGAAGATGCTATTTTCACGATCCTCCAGTACATCAGCCGAGAATTGAACGAACCTCAGCAGCGAATAGTACGCAGCTTATTTCTAGACTCAGCGTTCAACTGCATCGATCGGTAAAAACTTGTGATTCGCATTGCAGAGATGAGGATACCACAGTGGCTTCTGCGGTTGATCACCAGTTACTTGTCCGAGAATAGTCAGTTTGTTCTCACGAATGGGAAAGCCTCAAACACCTTTGCATCTCGAACTGGTGCATTACAGGGTGGTGTATTGTCGCCATTCCTCTTTACTTACTGCACCGCCTCCCTTCGAGTTGTGAATCCCCCAATTCATGTATTGTCAAATGTGCCGATGACACAGTTCTTCTCAGTGCCATCAAGAACGAGGACATCTACAACGATGAAGGAGACATCGAACACCTTGTGCGATGGTCGAAGCACAGAACCTCAGCCTAAATCCAGACAAGGTGTCAAGAGCTGGGGTGACATGCATCAGATTCGTTTAACTTTAAACTGATTCGTTTTCATAATGGGTGCCTATGGGAATAAGATTATCTCGGTTAAACTGATTCTCATAGGGAACCATCGAGAGATCAGATTAGTTTAGCTTAAACGGATTCGGCGCATGTCACGCCTGGTGTTTTCAAATAAGGGTAAAAAAAAAACACTTCTGGTTGGACTGAAGAATCGACAAGTTCGTGTCGATGGGGACGGTCGTCTCAGCAACTAACTTGGTCGAGTACCTTGGAATTTACATCGACAACGAATTATACTTCAAGAACCAGACTGAATAGATCTTCTAGAAATGTTACAGATTATCCTTGCATCATCTCTTGCCTGCGTTACGCTCTTTCCATCTACGGCTGCTGTTTCTCCAAGAAAAACTCTTCCCACGTTATGCGATTTCTGAAGCGCATTATTGCATATATAGGTGGTCAGGATACTGAACAAGTGAAGGAATAATTTTAGAAGAAAATTCATCTCTCGGGCATCCAGCTATACGAGAAAATTCAGAGGGATTTCACGCATCCCTTGAAATCACCCTTCCATCGTCTTACTGGACCAGAAACGAGAAAGAGACTAGTTTTCCCGAGAATCCCTATTTCCTTATTTAGAAATAGCTTCCTCCTGAGATGCCTGGGAGGATCTATTTCGCTTTCTTACATTGTGACAACTCCAGTGATGACGGTTTTTACTCTTCCCTTGAATTATCTATATTTTTTATTGTTTTACAAATGTGGACAATGACGCGCCGAATCTAGGCAAATAAACTTACCTACCTACCTATTGTAAGTGATGCGTCGGGGGCTTGTAGGGCTCGAGGTTGTGCCCCGAAAAAACGCCCACAGAAAAAACGCCAACAAGAAAAAATGTACACAGCATAATATTTTCAAATATTTCTTGCGGCTTCTTTTTTTATTTTATTAAAAACGAATGCATTATATTTTCCAAACGTGATATATAACCATTGAGTACATTAAATATATCACATGTACAGGGTGGGCCAAAAGTTTTTGCCCCTGTATAAAAATGTGAATATCTCCTGAACGGTTTGGGCTACAGAGTCGAAAAAGAAACTAAAAGAAAGTTCATTTCATCTTCTTTCTGAAAATGTTTTGTTTTAGGTTCCTACATTCATTTGGAGATGAGTCATGGCCGTTTGAAAAAAACATACCGAAAACAAAAGTTGCCAAAACGAACCTATACCGTGCCGTCCACGGAAATCATCCTCAGCAGCTGGCTTCAAGGTCGCACACGCAGTCGTTTTCTTCCTTACTAATTGCTCCCTACCTACTTTCCCTTCTTCATAATGTGGAGGATGACAATTTGAAGACTTTGATGCTTGATTTGGATAACCAACCAGCAGAAGATCGTGACAAAAGTTAAAAGGCCTCCGGTGGTTTGTCCGCGCGTTGTGCTGAGTGCTCGTCTTTGCAGTGTTAATTTTTTATTATCTTTCTTTAACTCTTATTCAGAAACCCTTACAGGGAAAATTGGTCACAGCGTCAATGTTTTCTGGCGTTCTTGCTCTTCAGGCACGGCCTGTGACTGGAAGACGTTCAGCACTGCCAGTTTCACACAGTTTTCGCAAGATATAACACACAGTCTTTTTTTTCCATTTTCGATTGGGATATTCACGCAAGATTTGGTTCAAGGTAAATCATTTTTCTTCACGAAGCGACCGGATTAAAACTCTATCACTCTCAGTTAGAACACGGTTCGTACCCATTTTCTCTGTANGAAATGAACTTTCTTTTGGTTTTTTTTTCGTCTCTGTAGCCCAAACCGTTCAGGAGATATTCACATTTTTATACAGGGGCAAAAACTTTTGGCCCACCCTGTATAAACGTAATAAAACATGAATATGAAGAAAATGCCCAAGATTCCAGAACGTTTCGACGCTGGATCAATGAAAGGAGGATTGTTTCCGGGGATCCTAAGGAAAACGCGAGAAAAAAAAGGCCCTTGAGATAAGATCTGGTGCGTGGGATCATGTTGCTGATTCGCCCGTCCTTTGAATTCATTTAAATAGCAGTGGGGTAATTGAAGTATGACATGCGACGTTTGACATGAGAATGTCCGGTTGCTTGCAATTATCTTGGAGGCATTGATCCCGAGGAAGGCGGAAAGATAAGCTACACACAGAGGATCCCAGGCAAAAATGTTGCTGAGAGATCTATAGACTTCTGTAGAGTTTTCAATGTAGTTCTATAGAATTCAATAAACCACTCATTGCATCTGGATAGGACTCTATACAAATTGGTATAGTACGATATTGGGTCTAGAAACCGCGCAAGCGGAAAGGAAACCATCACGTGGGTAAACAGTGGCGGCGAGTTTACGAAAAATCTGGGGGTAGCCAGCACGCCATCACAATGAGCAAGAGATCATTGATGTAACAATGGGAGCACGAAGCACAAAAGGTGTGTTTAGGTCGGTCTTGTCGCCTGATGAGTCGAACTGCTTCAAGTGGCAGGTAGTTGCAATAAAAGGCTGAACGTTCAGTGTTGGTAGTTTATATCGAATCGAAAACACGTAAAAGGAGAGTAAAAATAGAAGATCCTTGGAACACTGGAGGAGTAGAGGTGCATCCGGTCCGAGGAGAAAATTATCAGTACCACGACTTACACCCCTCTGCGAGTTTCGGGACTTCTATAGAAAAAAAAAACCACATCTAGCTCATCTATTATGATTATTATGATCTGTCTTTTTCATTCGCGGAAACTATATAGATACATATTGGCAATGCGGATTAGGATGACCTAGCAGCTTTCTATTTCGGCATAGGAACCAAAAGACATACCTAAAAACAAATGAACCTAAAGACGAGTCCCTGTACTTGTTAGCAGTCACCCTTTCGTGCGCTACGCAACCGGTGAGGTCGGCCTCCCTGCTATCGTATACTTCTGTATTGCGTGCACCATGTGATGTCCCTTATCCATCGCCTATGAGCCAGGGGAGGACTCGAGGCCAGAGGCCAGATAGAGACGTTTTGGTTCGTCCAGTTTCTCGTATTCCAAGGTTCACTTTTATTTTACAGCCTAATCCCAATCGGCGCAGCTCTTTAAAATTGCACCACTCAGGATGGAACGACTCTCCGATGCATGATTCCCATGAGGACTTCCAGCATTTCACAACTACGACTTGTGTCATATCCCTCCGCCACCACATGCCAATGCTTTCGCAAATTCATCATAAATTAATCGGATACTCCTAAAAGGCTCTTCACATTCTATTAAGTTATAGATGAACTTTGTACGAGATGATTAAGAAAAAAAGGCTATCTTCAATTCTTTATCTTTTCCTTTGGGAACCCTGCTTTCATCTACTTATTTTCAAATAAATTTGATGGGATTTCGATAGATTTTTTATACGATGACTACAGAAGTTCATGAAATTCAATAGAAATTCTGTACTATTTCTAGACAGTGACACAAAATAAATTCATACAGCCCTATGTAGAATTTCTTGAAAGGATTTATATAGAATCTCCATAGAATTTCCATACAGTGATTTAATATAATTCTATAGAGAGAAATAATAGATTTACAGGTATATACGACCTTATAGAATTTTTTCTTTAGAGAGTCTATCGAATATTTTTTGCCAGGGATGATGTAGAAAAAAAAAAACCTTTAAACTTTGTTTTAGACAAAACCCTGGCAACTCTTGATCGACAATCCCCTTGTCCCCCCAGTGAAGTATGGGGAGGAGATCAAATGCCGTTGTTCGAAGTATCTACAAACGGATGATATATAAATACGGTGTCTTAAGCTAATTCATTTCACTTCAAGGACTTTCATGGACGTTCATCACGAACCAGAAAGGCAGACGGAAAAGTTATCTTCGAAAGCTTCGTGCATGTGAAGCACTCCCAGAAGAACGACAAAATCCGGTAGCGCTGTGCCCTGCGGTCCCCATCGTGTGGGGGAATTTCGTTCGCGGACGCCGACTGCACCGATCCCCGTCCAGGAGCAGAACATAGCCATGCGCCGGACGTGACAGCTATCGAGATCGACAAATGTTTCTCCATGAAGCAGCGAGCAGCTAAGACATGTGACAAGCCAAGTGTTATCTACTCGCAAGCCATGATGCATTTTAATGACGATGCTCGTGCGATTTTGCCATCCGAGGCATCCATCTCTCTGCAAACTCTGCAAAATCAACGTAGCCCTTTCTTCCCGATTGAACCAACTTCTCTTTTGAGACGTACTGAGGAGTTCCATTTACTTGTCATATACCAATCTTGTCACATATTCGGAGTCCTGAGCCTATGACAATGCCTATGAAAGACCTTCGCATCGAAGGCATGTGGGCAACAACGGGTGGATTTGATTTGAGAATCCGTGACCATTCCTTTTCTTCGACAATGGTCCAGATGCCCAGAATAAAAAAAGAAATGAAAGCAATAAAAATATTCAAGTGGCCATTTTTCCTACTTTGCAGGTATGGGCATTTTTTCCGTGGTCATTTTTTCTTGTGGGCGTTTTTTCGCATATTCCGCGAGTCCCCAAGGCAAGGTCAAACGGCCGCAAGTATTTCTGAGTTATATTCGCGAATTTGATGTAAGACCTCGTGAGTAAAATCGACAAATTTCCGGCCGAAACGAAACAGGCAGGGAAAATCACGACGCTTACAGGACGTCATGATGGGCTAAAATTGACGTCCCTACACGACCCTGAAATTTCGAATCCTGAATTTCCGGCGAAACGTTCTAATTTCTTTGAAAAAAAAGGGAATGAAAAATTCTGACGTCTTTATCTCCTTATCTCTACATACTATTAGGCGACGTCTGGTTGCGTGAGCGTCTTTCTGTCCTTCCATCTCAATCCGCCCGACCACAACTTAGGGACTGAGTCAGGCTTTTTCGGAACTCGACCCGATCGGTCCCGCCCAGCACCCGACCCGAAACCCGTTTGCTTCGCTGACCCGGCCGATCGCGATGGGCCAGCAGCCCTTGGAGGACTCGAACCTCCAGTGCACGGGGGCCCTGTTGGCGAGAGGCGTTCTCGATTCTTCATTCGATGCACTCGGGTGCTCCAAATTCAGACGGTACTTCTCATTTCAATGCTACCGGTAGAAACTTACAGAAAAATATTTAATTGGGAATTCGAAGGTCTGACGACGGGACGCGTCTCTTATTATTGATTAGTAGCATGGGTGTTCGAAATTCGAGGGAGGGAGGGGGGGAGGGGGCCGGCACATTTGAATGCCACGGGACGGAACTCGCTGTCAATTGGTAAATGGGGAATTAGAGTTCTCTGATGAAAGGACGCGTCCCCTATTCTTCATCCGAGGCATGGCGGCTTCAGAATCCAATAACGTGTTTCACTTGAATGGTATGAGATGGAATCCGATTAACCTCGATTAGGAAACCGCGAACGTTTCACCGATAACAAGTAGCCTTCGTGAGTGCATGGGATTCGGCTCTTCGTAGAGCCTCAGATATCCATTGCGATCGCCAGATGATTCGTAACGTCCCGTGCGAAGAGCACGAGACGAAATGCACATACCAGTGTCCTATCAAAGGCAAATACCTCTTCCAACCCGAGTGGCAGAATGAAAACACGCGGAATTTTGAATTTTTTTCATTCACCAGTCCCAGTTGCTCGCCTGTTTTTGCCGCGTTTCGGATGGAAGTGAGATGGAGGACATGGAGGATGCGATGTGGATGCAGGCCGTGTCGGCCATGTGAGCCATGCAGGCCGTATCGGCCATGTAAGTCATGCAGGCCATGTCTTCCCTCTTCTCATCTATCATCCTCATTTCCCTGCTGCAGACTTTCACGATCCGTCTTCATCGGCGAAAAAAATTCCCACATGCGCGCCGATCGATTGCGGCACTATCTATGCGGAATTCAGAACCGTTCCTCTGTCGACTCAGGTCGATCGGGAAAACATGGGGGGAAAATACGAAAAAGGGAAAAAAAAATGTGCTCGACGCATGCCATCCTGAATCGGCTGGAGCTTCTAATGCCATTTGAAACGCCGCGATTCTTCGCGATCGGAAGCCGTAACAGAAGCACCCTTGCAGCTGCCGTCTCGATTGCACGATGAAATCCTAAACTGTACCCAGTCGATTCTCTCGGCACACCTCAGCGATCATATCTCATGCGAAGGGGAACGAGGACCTGTGCCGTAGCATTTTCTTTAAGCTTTGAGAATTTAATGGTCGGCCTAGAAAAATTACATGGCATATTTTAGCTCAATTTGATTAGTTTCGCATTGCATATTCAGCAAAATTAATTGAATGGCTGATTTAACTCTTTCACGGAAAATGCTCTGAATGTGGAATATGCCATTAAACTCGGAAAAAGGAATTCCCTCGGGAAGTTTCTCCGCTCGCTTCCCCCTCAGCGAGTGCATTTCCTCCAGTCGTTTCGGGACGGAGCATCGCGGAGGATCGCTCGCAACGTTGCGTCCGACCAATGTGGCGTCATCGATCCAGCCGCTTTCCATGGTTGTGTCTTGGAACTCCGGCAATCGCTTTGTGCTTCGTATGAGGGAAGGGCTGACCCGCTAGAGGAATATTCGTTTTCGTATTTGAACCATCCGCGTCGAATCCTTTCGCTGTGAATACAAACTGCAAAATAAGAATCAATCATCCTCAACTAATCTTTTTTTAAATTATAAGAAGAACAATAATGGTAGCTGACGTTCTGGACACACAAAATCCTCTTCACTTCCGAGTCACCTAAAATTGGCAGAGATAGGAGGAAAAAAAAATAGATGATAAGACTGCATGTTTTACAGTATACTGTATGTAATTGGTTGGGAGCATGACCTTCAGCATTCTCGTCAAACTGCAATCCTTAGCTCAATAAAGGGCAATTTAGTCAAAACATTTTACAGGATCGACTTTGAGGTTTTGCAAAGGGCGATCGGTGTCACTCGTATCTTCGATCGGGGCCCGGAAACCGAATGTGACGGTCGTTCTGCTCTCGTTTCAGACGTTCTGTGTGATAACAAAGCGATTCGGAGCCTACTACGTGCAGCGGTTCTACGGCGGGAACGCGTTGCTCTGCCTCTCGCCCTTCAACCCTCTCCGACGTGCAGCCGTCTGGGTCGTCACTCAGTCCTCCTTCGACATCTTCATCACGCTGGCCATCATCATCAATTGCGTCTTCCTTGCCATGGTCGATCCTCCGGCCGAAAGCGAGTCAGTTCTCCCTCCGTTTTTTTCTTTTTTTTTTCTTTTTTTTTTCTACCGGGGAACCCCCCCCCCCCCCCCCCGGTGGAAATCCACATGTCCATTTGCGCCCATGTATTTCAAGCCAGGTGGATTTTTCCCCCGGGTGGACATCGCTCCAACAGGTGAAAATAACGCCTAGTGGGACATCCACCTGGTTTCAAATCCACAGGGACATTTTGCAAGGGACGATGCAAGAAGCGAAGCTGTTTTGCAGTGAAGATTGGATCTTTTCTTTCTCGAGAAGTACACGCTCGTCGCAGTTCATGCATGTTCTGTGCCGAACGTAAGGGACACGTAAAGAACTCTCCAATACAGGATTTTCCCTGGGTCTGGATCCATCTTCATCTGCAACCCTGATCTGAATGAGGAATTCCTGAAAGGCATGATTGATCCCGAGTGAGAATGAGCCTTTGCAGGATGCATTCCGAGAGCGAACAACTGCAACTCGTTTGAAATTGAGTCTTTTTTTTTTAAGGATTCCACCGCGAGGAGCCAAAGTGGACTTTCCTCGGGATTCGCGAAAGCTTTCATGGGACGAATTCGTCTCCTAAACGCACAGAGAACCGCGTCGCCCTGAGACTATAACTATCGCTTGCGTGCTTCTCGGCCGAAATGAGGGCGTGGGAGGTCGTCTGCCCTTTCGGTCGATCGAGGACCATCCCTTCCTCTTTTCATTTCAGTCTTTGCCCCTCCCCCACCCTCCAACCCCCACCCTTCGCCCGCGTTTCATGAAACGGGTCGATGCCAATTCGAGGGACGAAACATCCCCAGACGAGCGTGCCGAAAATGGACGGGGTGAGAGTCTAGGAAAAAAGAAGATTCGGAACAGCACGATAGGCCACTCATACCGACGAAACGCGAATGGGTGAAGGGATGAGGTCCTCGTGGAGTCCGTAATCACTCCCTCATCACGAACTCAAATCACTTCCAGTCAATCGATGCCTTCGGGTTCAGGGTTGAGGGTCTCTCATGCATTATATACTCGTGTCATTCATGGACGAATTCTAAATCGATATCGATAAGAATCTGATCGCAGAAGAAAGAGTAGGGATTCACATAGAGCAATTAGTAACACGGTTTAGTTTTTGCATTTCGGATTCAGATTCGATGAGCTTTTTTAGCAGACTCGAGATGCGACACAGATTTAGATTGTATAAGGGCTTGTCATGCTAGATCTCGTGCTAGGTATCGATTCCAAGGTCCCGATTCAAGGAATTTCCTCTTCCTCTGTTATTTATCTCCCCTGCTTGTGCAAACTTATATGGATAATATCCCATATAAAGTTCATGAGATTCATTATTAATAAGGGAATCGCAAATGCCTTGACATTTCCAAAGCAGACTCGAGAGTTTTGAAATTCTATTCAGAAATGATTCTGAGATGCTTCAAGGTTCTAACCTCAAAAATTTATGATTAAGGATTCTGACTTTGAATTCGGTTCACGATTTCACCATCGCCCTTAAATGTTTGATCTGACGTGAGAGAAAGGGCACGGGACAGAGGCATCGCCTGATATCGACCATATGTGAACCCTTACCTTTCTCGTGCAAGGGACAAATTATTCACTGTATCGAACTCCGATTGGAATATCGGGAAGAGAATTGGGACCGGCAGGTAATCGATATGCGTTCCGATCGATTCCGATCCAAAATTGATTGAGTAATTTAAAATGCAGTAAATCATGCAACCGTAAACCAAGAATCAGTGAATTAAAATTTTTTTTCTCGATAAGGTACGTGTTTCTGGTGATCTACATGCTGGAGATGATGGTGAAAGTGTTGGCGAAGGGATTCATCAGCCACCAATACACGTATCTAAGAAACGGCTGGAACTGGTTGGACTTCATCATCATTGTGACCAGCATCGTGACCTTATTCGCTCACACCACCGGGGATTTCTCAGGACTTCGCTCTTTCCGGGTCCTCAGAGCCCTCAAAACCATCTCCATCTTCCCTGGTTGGTTTTTCCCTTTTCCTAGTTGAAAAAAATAATCCGAATCGCCGCCACGATCTCCCACGCCATTCCCATCAAGGAAAGTGTCTAATTCCAAGCTAATTCCGCAATTGAAGTTTTTCAACACAACTCGAGCAGTCTGAAAGCGATATCATCGCACATCAGCCAGTTAGAAAATGTTGCAGAATGTTTGCTAAAGAATCGCACCAGATGGAGCTTTAGTATGGATGCAGAAAACCATATTGGAACACGTGTACATCTGCAGTTGGTTAAGAATAATGCGTGCATCACTAAAGGTATTATTGGAATGCATTGTCTTTCGTATTCATGGAAGCGTCTGACTCGATTCACGTTTGCGTCTCCACAAGTTACATGACCATCGACCAACTTTCTTCGTTTTTAATGCGCTCTTGGTTAGAAAGCTCTTGGTTGAAGAGAATATATATATATTTAAAATTCCCATTCGGCGATTTAATTGTGTAGTGAAGTATAGCCACATTTACTGCGTTCGATAAAAAAAAAAGTAACGAAAAGGATCGCCATTCAGGCCAGGTTTTACAGAAATTCCTTGGAGGGTGGGGACCCTTTCTACGGAGACATAAAGGTACCTGCGGAGAATGAAAGGCAGACAGAATGGACAGCGAAGGGAAGGGTCCGTGGGGGCCAGGGGGACATTTGTAAACTGTCCGGGCGGATTATCCGGGATTATCATGCCGAGGGTGGATGGTCATCCATTTCCCGAAGGCTTTATTGGTCCATAACTCGACTGAGTCTCGTGTGTCATCCATCATGTAGTTCCTCCGTCTAACTCCATCTTGCATTTCAAGCAGGATCTAATAAAGGACAATATATGTTGTCCGCCCACGCCTCTCTCCTAATCAAGTATTATCGTGCAAAAAATAAAAAATAAAATGGGTGGAGCGCGAATTGGGATCCGATATGCACTTTTTAAAAAAGTTGTATGGATCGTGTACCCATATTTACACTTCGGCTGAAATTATGAATAGGGTTGAGGTTGCATCATTGACTCCGGGAGAAATTAAAATGTAAACATATAGGCTGTTACGGCTGACGAAGCAGTTGCCAAGATCGATAAACACGGTGCTATTCAAATTTGACGGGAATGAAAATTTTAATTCCTTCTGCTACATGGTCGGTCTCGGTGATGGACTCTGTATGTAAATGCATATCCAAGTCTCCAGAGCATCAATGTTTTAGAGAGATGAGCTTATTTTGAAGCAGTACGGACGAGATAAAATATCCATCAGAGGAGAGCCATTTCTTCTGGCTTCATCAGGCATTGATCTCGGCGTTGCCATGGGGCAGATTATCCTTCAAAGTGCGTATCAGAGAATGAGGGGAAAGAGACGAAGATGCTGCAGCACAGTGTAACAGAAGAATTGAACAGAAATTTGGGAGAACCACCTGTTGCACGCATCACCTGTTCAATCCTCTGTTTCGAACTTCTCAACCTCCTAGTTTCGAGCGACAAACTCATATTTTAAAACGGGGCACCACGGGTCGTGCCTCTGATCATCGTTAAGATGAAGTTCAGTTGGCCCAAAGTCATCACATAAATGAGCGATTCAGCTCCGTCTACGATTCGTTTCAATCCCAAGAATATCGCGTCTGCAGGTGTTGAACCCTTCAGAGTCTCGCGTTTATCATTGCGCACTATCAGGTCGGAAGAAGACTCTTGACAACTCTCAGGAAACATTTGGCGCTCTGTGAGTTACGACCCATAGTGCCCCAGCACAAGCCATAAAAATGAAATCAGGATTACAACCAAAGTAAGTTGCCTGTACGCGCAGGCATTAAACTACCGATATCCCGAATCTAATCCCAAAACGAATCAAGACTTTTCATCAAAAGAAACGAACGGCAAAAATCGAGATATTACTCTCAATATGAAACAAAAGAGACTGCAGAACGACGTCCACACAATCTGCACTTTGGGTGGGAACTACTCTATTTTTCAACTATACCATCCTGCCATCACAGCTGTAAGATATCTAGCAGACGACACGAAGAGAAACAGGGCTGAGAGAGATTTGGACCGCTCGACCCGTAGTACTCTATGACCAATGGTGCTCTACCCTCCCCTAGTTTTTAGACGTTTCACGCTTCCATGTTTTTGCAAGGGTGAAACAGGAGTGCATTTTCCAGTTTTCTCAATCCCAAAGCAGCAGCGTAGGGCTTTTGGGTCTTTTGCGTCTTCGAATTCATTATTTTTCCAAAAGTGTATGCAGTATCGTCGCCGTTTTAAATGCACGCAAAAAAGAAGAATGGACGAAGCAAAGATCTCTGAGAATCTAATGAAAACAATCAATGACACTTCTATTGTTGAACCAGCCTCTTATCCATCGTAGAACACTGAGCGGGACGAAAAATGCCATCCCGACCCGCGAAAGATGCAAAAATTAGCCTCGTTCGGTCTCGTTCAGCCTTTTTAGTTTTTTTTTTGGTGCATTTTAATATTTTTTGTTCTGTAAAATATGAGTACTGATACGAGTGAACTCGTATCACTACCAGTCAAGCTCTCATGGCAATGCGCAGTACAAAACTACGGCTAATGCAAAACGAGATAACATGATGATCGACATTTGGAGATGTCTTGGGATCTCCTTGATCAGTAATATTTCAAGGATTGAAATTCACGCCGAGTTGCCACTGCAGTAAGAAAAGCGACTCAGCAGGATTTAAAAAGCAGGAGTCTCACTACTGGTCATTCAGTTTTTTAATGCTAAAAATGCAAATGTACTAAGTGAAACTTCCCAAGTAAGACAGTATGTTGATGAAACGTTTCCGAAATGTTTCCTATGTTGCTCTATGTTGCAAGTTGATGTACAACATTGATAAAACATTGCTTCAACGTTTTCACTTAGAATGTTGCTGCAACATTTGCTATCAACGTTGAGAGAATCTTTACGCTCTTGACATCGACAACGTAGCGACAACATTCCGATACAACATGGACTTTTAGTTTTAGGGAAGTTTTAGGGAATTGTAAATGTGTCCTACTTGCCACGAGATGGAGGCGTAGGTCTCGCTTTTCTCACACTACACAAAAGTGCCCTTCTCCCTTTCCCTGGAATCGTCCCGCACAGGAATGTTTAGTACATTGCCAGATGTCTCGCATTGTCTCATTATAGGAATAAATGAACATGGACACTTTATCACTTGTTATCCTCATATTCGAGACAGATTCATGGGACCAAGATCAAAAGCCAGTTCATATTCCCAAAAAGAACCCTTTCCAAGAACTCGTTAATTACTTCCTACAGGACGTTAAAAACGATGGTGGGGAGACCGTGATCTCAATCTTTCATTTCCTTTTCCTGAGAGCTAGATGAGGAAATGAAGGACTGCATTCGCGGGCACCCCATAGAACATTGCAGGTGGATCTTTTCCTGAAACGTGCCATATTTAGCACATCCAGGGGAAGATTATTTCCAAAAATGTACTATATCTCCTGCCCATACATGATACAGGTACTGTATTATGCATGGGTAGAAGTTACACCAGTACAGATATCGTCCTGTTGATGGGAACGTCTGGGTAGGGAGGTAAAGTATATGGTCCGAATTGATGAAAGAAATAATTCAATATTGGCAGAATATCGGTCCAGTTCAGGGTCAATGAAGCCTATGCTTCTCCGGGTAGTAATGCCAATACAGATCCAGATTAGATCTCAGTGAAGCAGTTTTTTCCATCAACATTGCAGCAACATAAGTCCTGAAACGTTTCTGCAACGTATATGTAATGAATAAGTAACGATTTGCAACGCCAATGCAAAGTTCTCTCGCAACATTTGAGCAACGTTGACGTTTTGGACATTTACACATAGAGCAACATTGTTCATCAACATTTTCTAAACGTTGCAGGAATATCTTGTGTTACTTGGGTTTGTTCCGTCTCGTGAAGTAAATCCCACCGCGTAACATGCGGACCCGTGCAGTGCTCTAGTCCATTTTAGAGGCTTGCCCCTGATCCCCGCAGCTTTGGGCGAAGCGAACCGAGGTATGACTTCATGCAGCATTCAGGAAGCATCCGGCACGACTTCATGCAGCATTCAGAAAGCATCCGATCGATATATATCCAAGAAGAGGACGGAAAAACTGGCTTAGCCCACCCCGTTCCATCCGGTCTCGGTGCTTTATTTCCTTCCCCGCATTCGCGGAAGCACCAGGCGGTGAACCATGATCGAGGCTCACCTTCGGGTCACACGGCACAACAGTGCAGCGCCAGTGGCTTCTGATCCTCCGATGGTTTTGCTACGTTTTGGTAGTGCTTTGTCGCCTACTTTCGTACACGCTCGTAAATGCTAGGTGGAGAAGAAAGGAAACCGCAAGAATTCACGATCCTTTTAATGCCGAAGTCGCGAAGGCCACCATCGACATAACTGCAAAAGGGGGGCCATCACGCGAAGAATGGCAGAGGCGGGGGAAACCAAAATAAATGGTTCGGACGCAATCGCGTCTTTTCATGTGTCGAGATGGCAAGTAGCATATCAATATGGTACTCTTCCCCTATGTTACTCTTTCGTCTCGCTACAAACAAATTCCACGCCCCATCTGTCGCCTGCGAGAATCATTGAATGCAGTTAGCTGTTTCAAGGGATTCTGAACTTCTCTTTCGAATACGACTCACGAATTCTGGATCCCCGGACGAGAAGTGATCGAATGGTAATTGATTTCAAGGGAAGTGATCGTATGGTAAATTATTTAACGGGGAGTGATCGTATGGTAATTTAAGGATGTGAAATGATGATTTATTAGTGTCTGTGAAGAGAAACCAGTCATCCCTCATCAGCAAAGAAAAATATTCCCATTCATTTGTTGACGTAGCGACTGGCAGATTTGTCTTTCTTCTTCATACAGCCTTGCCAAGTGTCCTCAATAGTGAGGATTGAAGCTTGAATCAGATGTCAAAAGTCACGACTTTGTGCGTACATTTTGATTTTGAGGCCATACGTCATCTGTGATTGGGGCATTATATCTGCTGTTGTCGCATCTCACTCATTTATCCAAATGTTGAACCCCGTGACACTTATCAACATTCTTTCCCCCGTAACTAATTTTGTGGACGAGAAGCATTTAAGAGGAGAAAGTTAGTTGCTATGTGATTAAGGAGAGGCTTTAAAATCTTTCCTCAGAAGTAGGAGAACGATGAATGCAAACATGCACATTCCGCACTTCATAAATTCCGAGTTCTCAAATTTTCGACCGGGGATTGTTTTTATTTCCAAACAGGGTTACGGACAATCATAAACGCCCTGCTGAGTTCGATGTACCAACTGTTCGATGTGATGTTGTTGACGATGTTTTGCCTGGCTGTGTTCGCCCTCTACGCCCTTCACGTCTTCTCTGGAGTCCTCCACAACAAGTGCGTCCGGGGATTCTCGCCCGCCTCGACGGAAAACGTTTCGCTTCAGTTCTACGAGTGAGTTCTGCCGTATCTTACTTTGCTTTTGTTGCTTTCTTCTCGAGAGCAGAAGAAAATAATTCTTTTCATGGATCTAGAGGTTAGATGAATCCATCTAACCTCTGGTACAATGTCGACCGGATCCAAAAAAATTTACTGTTGTGCCTTAGCGGTTTTTTTTTCGTAAACACTCACGACGTGCACATACGTCGTCCTTGTTCATAGCTGAAAGCTCAGAGAAGACTGCAGATATTTCCGTCGGTTGCCCACGGTCCTATTTTGGGGGACTAATTCATTCGAAATGAGCGGTGGAATGGGAGAGGAAAAAAGCGCAAGGCCCGAGTTCGACGAGATCTTGTCGATAAATCGACCGCGAAAGCGGGCTTGTTCGTGAGGGAAGATAAGCTGAAGGTTGCATGCATTATACCTGCTAGGGAAATTCATTAGGAGAATGCCAGGAGGCCACTTATGCTGGTCTTTTCACGAATAAGTCTTTCTCCTACCTTTCTTCCACTTTTTTATTATTATTCCTCTTCGAGAACCTGTGCGTAGGATACGTAGGCCTCTTCGATGGAGCCGCTTCTTTGTCATTCTTCGCTTCATACTTGCGACACCTTTTCATACAGCTCGTCTGGATATTGAAAGGCAAATGACTATGCACTGCTGTCACGATGAGCCATCACTCTTGAATGTGCGACGAGTCCAACGATCAAAGCCTCCACACTATTCTGAAGGGGCAGAAAGATGATGTCCGGGTAGATTCATCCGAGTTCGTCGCGATCGCAAGGCCTTTCTCGTTCGATACAAAGAATATTTCCTGCCTCCTTGGACACATCGTCCATGAATCGCGAAAAAAATGAACCCGGAAGTTGGGTCTCTCCATAATTTTGACTGACGAAATCCTCGAGCGTTAAACTGCAAAAAAATTACATGTAGGCTTCCTGCTTTTCTCAGATCACATTAAGACTTAAACGCCCTGAAGGGGCTTGTCTGACTTTTCGTGAACAATGATGCCTAGGTCTGACACGGATGGGGAGGGGGGGAAGTCCGTGAACAAGGAAACCAGACCAATAGTGAGTTGAAGTATAATAGTAGTTCTCGAAACGCTGTTGAAAACATGAGGTCGGACTCCGTCAGAAGTGAGAAGTGAGGGTTCCTTTCCCGTTATGAAAATGGTTGTCGTATTAGATTCCTTAGGTCAGTGATGCGCAATCCGCGGAGACCTTTTGTGTGTCCCCTTGGATGCCTCCGATCTCTAAAGATCCTAATTTATATGCGGCCTATTTCGGCTCATGTTCCAGGGCCTGCGGCCCTCGAACCCCTCAAACATGAGCCGAAATCTCAATTTGGCCCTCTACGAGGAAAAGGTTGTGCACCACTGCCTTAGGTGATCTCTTTTATAAAAAGCCATATCATCTAGTCAGACATATCCTCTGCTACTTAAAACGGTCTTTTCAAATTATCCTCACCCGATCTAGTCAAGCCTTTTTGAACCATGCTTCGTCCACAATCGCCAGGAGTCTCTCTGGACGGTTTAATCTGTTTAAACAATTGCATCGAGGAATGTCTTCCCCTAAGTTGTTTGTGGGGAAAAGATCTGGTACCTAATGAATAGCAATGGGCGTCTGCAGGACGCGCTTCTCCATAACATCTGGGAGGGAAAAGGCTCTTACTGACTACATTCAGTTCAGAAGGGGAGTATTTCAGGGAGATTCCCTGAGCCCTCTTTTGTTTTGCATCTCCCTCTTGCCCCTCTCAGTTCAACTGAGGCAGACGACAGGCTATATGGCAGGTCCACCAAACTGCCGCTCGCACAGGGTCACGCATCTGTTTTACATGGAAGACCTGAAACTATGCGTGTAACCAGGGTCAACTTCAACAGGCTCTTGAAGTAGTTCACTCCTTCACCCGTGAAATCGGTATGGAGTTTGGGTTGGACAAATGTGCTACTCTCCACCTGAATAGAGGCAGATGCACTGAACTAGGTGATGATCTGCAGCTCGTGGATGGGACGATCATCAAACATCTTGCGCCATCTGAGCCCTACAAGTACCTTGGCCTGCCCGAAAGGGAAAGCCATCGCGTGCTAGACATCAAGAGGGCCATGACATAGGTGATGATCTCCAGCTCGTGGATAGGACGATCATCAAACATCTTGCGCCATCTGAGCCCTACAAGTACCTTGGCCTGCCCGAAAGGGAAAGCCATCGCGTGCTAGACATCAAGAGGGCCATGACCAGCAAGTACAAAGAGCGCCTCTGGAGAATGTGGTCCTCCCAACTCTCTGGAATCCATAAGATCATGGCTACTAATATGCTGGCAGTACCCGTCCTGTCTTACAGCTTTGGCATCCTTAAGTGGACCAAAACCGAGCTCAAGGACCTCGACATCGCCACCCGCAAGGTCCTCACCGCCAATCGTAGCCACCACCCCTAGGTGTATTTTTAGACTGTTTTTAAATTTATGAGCAGGAATGCTGCAAATGTTAACAGGGAGTGAGTTCCAAAATTTCGTTGCTCTGTAGTGGAATTTTGGAATCTCCCCCACTCGCAGCCAACGTGGGCGCAACGTGGTGTGCAGCCTAGAATAATTTAATCTGCTATTATTCCGAACCCGTGGTTCATGGTCATAAAAAAGCAATGGGCCAATGGGTCAATGGGCGTCTGAGCACCTCTAATACGGTATGGTGGCATGTATGCACCCGATGCATGAACTGCTTACATGCACACTTGAATACAAATATATGTATTCTCAATAGTTAAAATTTGTTTAGCTCCGTTTTTTCATTGGGCAAAAATTTCGCTGTTTTTGGAAAGTCGACTGATTCGCTAGATCTATATTAGCGCTCACGCCTTTTTTCTTTACTCTTTGCTCGCTCTCCTCTTATTGATCTCAGCACTATTGCACACGATTTTATCTTGAATTGTAAATTCCACAGTATTGCATCACTTTAATATATATTTGTACGCCTGAGTCAAAATTATTGCCTCCGTATGTCTGATGTTTCATTGGGCGCTTTGATTGAGCTATTTCTCCTGGACGAGGGGAACAGAGTTGAGCTTGGGAGCGTGAAGGGCTTCAGAGTGGCATGCATGCGAGTAGGGACATCCATGCCAAGGGTTTAAAGTATGCTAGTTTGTGTGCCTGGGAAGCTGCCCTTTCTGAATATTCCTATCCCTATGAATATCTCTCCCAAATCCAATTTCAGATTTTTGACCACATATATTTTTATTTGTTATAGGCACGTGCAAGATCCAGTGAATTGGCTGATGTGGAACGAGGAGCCGGTTGTGTGCGGGAATGGCACAGGCACAAGGTCGGTTACCTTCATCTCAATTAACAGTTCTAATTCATCTCGACTTCACACAGAAACCTCTCGAAGAAATGGGCTAGTTAGTTCGTTTCCAGCTCTTGGCATCGATCAGTGGGACATGATGACCGACGTCACGCAGAGCATTACGGTTCGATGCACCTGAAACCCGGAATGAGTACACTCCGTGTCGATAAAAAAGAAGTCCAGGGGCTCCTCGGTAGTCTTGTTCCGTTTGAACCTGGTCAAGAGGAAAGCAATCGATGCCCATGAATTCCGAGAAGGAGGGATTGCGGAAAGCCCCGAGGGAAGTGGAATGGAAGGAAGACGGCATATGGATCCAAAGAGAGAAATAGGATTTCAAAGGCACCTTCGACCCCAAGGGAAATCCAAATTCTCTTTTAGGGGCTTCGGGGAACTCGACAGACTTATATAACTTCTTAAGCTCTCCGGCTGCAGTGACCCTTTGATTATTTTGCCGCTCTTTCTGAGCAAGTCAAAGGGTATTCATGAAAGTCATCAGGATTTTAGTATCTGCAACCTTGATGAATTCCATGCACTAAGTCAATTTTGCATCTTAGAGCTCATTGATTCGGCGGCAGCAGCTCAAAAGGTTTAACAGTGTCTCGTTATGTAAATTAAAGCCTCTGGTAGAAGTCGGGCCTGTGTGGTTAGGAGGTCGAGATTGACGTTCTGAATGACCATTGCGTGCGAGCGAGGGTATTCAGGGGTATGAATGAGGGGGTTGTCCTGGCCGCGTTTCGTAATCCTCCTTTCTTGGCTTGCATGAGGAGTCACATTCAGAGGGGGAAAGCATACACTATTCGGCTATTTTATGTCGTATTTTTCTTAGCAGATCGTCTTTTCCTTGACGTTCCGTAACGGTGTGTGCAATTCTTATACCAGGGAATGTCCCTTGGGATACACGTGCCTGCCGGACGTCGGATCGAACCCGGACTTCGATTACACGAATTTCGACCATTTTGGCTGGTCCATACTCAATACATTCCGCCTGATCACGCTCGACGTCTGGGAGGACATCTACAACAAGGTGAGCAAAAGCGGATGGCGATTCCAGATAACGATAATTGGTCGATCGGGCCAGTGGACAGCTCACTAAGGAGCTAAAGTACACCTCCGCTCATGCATGCCTGTTCATTATGCATTATTTTGTCGACCGCTTGCGTGTTTTCCTTCGTAAATGCTATCCTCGGCGTGAGACCCAAGCGGTTCGTGCATGGTGAACCGTATATAACGTCACGCCAAATTGTTCCTCCGAAGACCGGCTGATGAAGAGAGAACTGAACTTAATCTACTTTACTGAGGTCTCTGATGGCGTTTTGCTCTCACCCGACCGGAAGCTTGATTGCCAACCTCGCTACACGCCCGATGCAACGTCAAACCGGTCCTATCAAGCCGATCCGCATCCTGACAGAGCTAAAAATCACCCCATATTCTTATACCGATATCCAGGCGTTCGAAATTAGGACTGATTTCGCTTGAAGGCAACGGAGTGGAACTCGCTGAAAATTTTCCTATAGGCGATTGGGGTTTCCCTAATGACGGAACGTAGCCACTATTATTCATCGAAACTGTATCTTTGAAATTCGAAAGTTGCGTCCCTTTAGATTCCGTGACACTGGAAATTGTTATATAAAGGATATTGTTATTCTTTGATGACGGAAGCAATCTCAAATTTCCATCTGATTCCTGAGAGTTGCAAATTCGTTCGGTGTGTCTCATTTGAATGCATGGGTGTCTATCGATAGCTCATAACCTGGAGGCGATAATTATTAGGTCAAAAGTCCAAAAAGTCTAACCATTTTGACATTATAGGGCCCTATTTCGGCGATAAGAATAGCATCGTACTGAATACCTTCACACAACCAACAATGAGAGTTTGAGGAATTGTCGCTACCATTTACTGACAAGTTGTTGAAAAATTAGGAAAATTAGCCAAAAAATTGACAAAATTGAGGGACGCTCTTTTTTATGGACTGGAGCATATTTGTTGGGAGGTCATCTTTCAAGACAATGACTTTCTCCTTTGAATCAGATCAGAAGGAATGCGCTATGATATAAACTTTTTTGTCACTGCGATAAACGAATGGAGTTTTTGAGTTCCCGCGAATCGTGCATGATTGCGCAAATCGTTCTTTCAGGAACTTCGCTTCCCTCTTGCAGTCATCCCAGTATTTAAAGAAAATTGGTAAGATGTCCGTTGCTTGTATGGTCGTTGGAGACTGGTTTTTGCAGTTAACCTCCTTACTGAACCTCCAACTCCTCTTACACTCCGTTTCCTTGGCAAGTTGGCAAGTGGGGAGAAGTGTCACTCAGCTGGAACGCTTATGTCTGCCTCATGATTGCACAAGTTGGAAAATTTGTATCGATTTTTAAAGTGCGAAGCGGTTCCACCAGAGAAGTAGGTGATCTTTCGCAGTAGAAAGCGAAATGTATCCCTCTGGAAATTGATGAGGTTCCTCTGAAAGAGATTGACAACAACCGGCTTAGGATGACGACAGTCTGATATTTGACGTAGTTAACATGCTGCAATTTCCCGAAACCCGTGTAATATGCATAAATGGATGGATAGTTGCTTGTGAGTTGTCCCAATGAAAACCTTGTGCTTCGTCCTGTAGAATCTATCTATATAATAATAGACGACATCCTCCGTCTGTCTGTCTGTCCGCCGAAAGCCTGCACGGGTCGACATTTTGAACTCGACCCGATTCGAATCATGGTCCTACCCATAGAGTGTGTATAGATGTCTCTGGAGAGGCCTTCGCTGCCTCGAGAGTTACAAGTGCCTCCGCCATCTTGGGACTGGACCTTGGGATCGCTTCTGTTTTTGATCTACATAAACGATTTGGATCTCGGCGGAGAGGATAAGATAAGTAAATTTGCCGACGACACCAAGATAGGTTTTTCGGTAAGGGAGGAGGAGGATAGGGCTCGAGCCGAGCAAGATTTAATTCTTTTGGATGAGTGGAGCATCTCCACGTCGGTCGAAATAACGGTAGGTTTATCGACACGTTCGGCGAGGTTAAACTGGGGGAGGCAAACGGAGAGAGAGATTTAGGAGTTTCTATCGACGATGGCCACAAGTCTTCCTTGTTCGCGCAAGCGACAGTGGCCAAATGCAGCAGGATTCTAGGTTTCATTCGTCTTTCGGTTGCAAGCAGGACATCTCGCGTTATTCTTCCGTTGTATGCGGCGCTGATGAGACCCCAGTTGGAATATTGCATCCAGTTTTGGAGGCCTACAAATAAGAGTGAATTGTT